ATGCCACCGTCGTCGTGGAGCTCGCTGCCTGTGCGGAAGACCTGGTCCGTCGGCGCGATGCGGATACCGAGCGCATGGAGCTGCGCCACAAGATCTTGGCTCATGGCTGCAAAATCGCGATTCCGGAAACCGATGTCGGTCGCCTCCGGCTTTCTTCGGACCGGAATGATTTCGTTTGAATTATATTATTTCCGGCTCACTCGAGATCCAGTGTATTGTAATGGGATGTTTTTAAAATCGAACGGCGCCGCCAACAGAGCAGCCTCATCGGAAGAGTCGAGACTACAACCAGCTGCGTGGTCCTCTCTTTGCGATCCAGCAAATCGTGGCCTCATTGCTCGCCGCGCCATCGCAACGTTTGCTGCTACATTGGCCTTACTGGGCACAACAGCAATTTGAAAATCCGAATGCAACGTCAGTCGTTGTTGGAACGCGACAAACCCGCCGAGTGCAGAACAGGGGCGGTGCACTGGCCCTCTATCGAGGTGCAGTGAGGGACCATCTACCCGAGTAGTTCAACATCTTTGGTGGCGATGGAATCAAGGAACGCGCGTCGCCTCGGACTGCGTACTAACGCTGTGACTGTGTGTTAGCAGCGGTAGCATGGTCGCATGTGGCTATAGACACGGGCCTCGATTGCTTGACCACAGAACCAAGCCACAGCAAACGCAAGATCACTTTGGCTTCACTGGTTGAGACGGCGAGTGATCTCAACTGCCTGCCGATCAAGATCGGCTGCTGTGCGCACGCGATTGGCAAAAATTGTCGTATTTAAACCAATCAGCGCTAGGAACTCGACGTTGGGCGACGCGGATTGGGTGAAAAGTGCACTTTGCATTTTGCGCCGCGATGCTGCTCCGAGTTGTGGTAGGCCCATCGCTCTCACAACTTCCTCACGACATGTGGTTGCATCTCACTACCGGTATACGGTAGATGTTTCATGTGTCTCTCGGCTACAACCTCGCCATGAAGGTGCTCGCGAACCGATCGTGGTGGTCCCGCATCGACGACCATATCCTCCTTGGCGCGCTGCCCTTGGCTGACCGCGGCCACCATCTTCTCGTGGGACTTGAAGCGAGATGCCTTGCGTGTTGGTCTCACGTGCACCTATCTATGGAATGCCTTAGCTTCAAAGAGAAGGTGTTACCGCTGTCGTCACCATGAACGAACCGTTTGAGATGCAGCCCACCCGTTTGGGCCGGCCAGTGACGCCCGGTACGCAGATCGACGTCGAATCCATGGAACGAACGCTGCGTAGATGACTGGCGCGAGCTCGGTATTGCGCAACACGTGGCAGCGACCCGAGACTTTGCGCCACCGACGCTCGACAGCCTCGTATCGTGCGTCACGTTCGTTGCTCGCCACGTCGCGCGTGGCGAGACGGTCTACGTGCACTGCAAGGCCGGGCGTGGACGCAGCACGATCGTCGTGGCTGCGTACTTTATGCAAGCGCACGACTGGTCCATTGACCAAGCGCTAGATTTCATCAAGCAAAAGCGACCGCACATTGCTAAGTCCAGGTCGATTTTGCGGCAGTTTCAAGCCCACTTGGCAGCCCAGTGTCCTGACGCAGTTCCACTAGAATAAATGAATTGCACGTCAAGCCTATTGCAGGGCAGGCACAAATAAAGTTCCAAATCCGACGATCATGCATCGTTTTCGCTAATCGCCACACGTCCTTGAACGTTGACACATTAGCATCGGCACCGAACCTCCAGCTGGTGGCGGGATCAAGAGTCCGTCTTCTTTGCAGCGCCTTGTATGGTAGGTTTCAAGTTGGTACAGTTGCTACACGGCGTCGGAATAGAATGATGCGCACGAAGGCGCTCGATTGGTTGCATGAGAATCCTGTAGATGAATGAGCCGCCGGTATTCACCATTGGAAAGGGAGTGATCGAGTGGTCCCCCGTCATGTCCTTCCACCGCAAATCCATCGCCCCGTGTACAATGATACATCCACACGATCGCTGCAGCTTCGTCGGTTTTCGTGTCGTACCACGCCAATTGCTAGCGCAGATGCTGAAATAGCTCAAGTCGGGATTGACTTCGGTGCAAGTGCAGCTCTGTGTTGCACGTATCATTTTGTCACGCGATTGGCCAAAATAATACCTCCCGTGGCACGCTGACGTTATCGAACAACATACCACGGCCAAACGGACGGCCATCAATTAGCCCTATCTCTCCTGTTCGCCCCCACGCATCAAGACGAACAGAAGTGTAGAATCTTGGTCCTAGTCAAAGTAGAGCGGCGCTCCCTAATTGCTACCATTGCCTCATTCACACCATGGTGTCTTTGCGTCGATCGCTTTACTTGCGAGCACCACATTTTCACACAAAACTATAGAGCCAAAATTGCGACTTGATGTTTACTACGGCGCAAAGGTAAAGTGGTAGATGCCTTCGTCCGTCGTCGGCGCGACCCACTGGAAGCCCTCAGCGCGCGCACACTCCAATACGTAGTCAATCGAGACGTTGCGCTTCGTGTACGCGAGCAAGAAGAGGTGGTTGGGGCGCCGCGACAGAAAATGGCTCGCGGACGCAAATAGCGGTGCCACGTATGCCTTTTCGTAAATGATGTCGGCGCCGAGGAGCACATCATAGCACCCCTTCGTCTCAGGCGTAAGCTCCGTACCCCAGAGCAGCTGCTTGCAGCACACCGTAGGATCCATGCCGTTGAGTTTGCAGTTGTCAATGAGCACCGGCATCGACTCGTCGTCACCGTCCTATGCACGAGGCATGAGGTACCATGCGGGCAAGGAAGAGCTTACCGTGATGAGGACGTCGGCGCCAAGCTTGCCGGCAAGAATGCCACAGAGACCGAGGCCACTCCCAAACTACACGCATAAGTCATTTGCCACAGAAGCACATCGAGGGTACCTCTAGCACGCGCTTGCCCTCAAACAAGGACTTGTGACGGAACATGAAGTCCGAGAGGAAGTCGCCGGCGCGCCAGAGCGTGAGACCCGTGCTGTTGAGCGTCTGACCAATGTCGCGGCGCAGGCCATTGAGGCGGATCTCAATGTCGTCGCCAAACGTGAAGCAGAACGACTCGTCGTTCGGGCCCTTGGCCTCCTCGAGCGCCGACTGCACGCCTTTCCGGACGTCAACGTCGTCGTCGTCATCGCCGACGTCGATGCCCCGCTCCATTGCAAACTCGCGGAGCGCGGCGAGCGCGTCGGCCGAGAGGCCAATGTCATCGTCCTGTTGCATCATCGTGCTGCTGCCAATTGTCGGAATCCGCCAATGAGCCGTCGCGATGATGCTCGCTTTCTATTGCTTTTTAAGCTGCTTGCGAGCAGGAAAGGTCGAACGTTTTGACCAATCGCAGTTCACCGACCGAGACGAGATGGACGGAGGTGGCGTGAAGCGGCCCCACGACGACGAGTCGCTGCCGCGCAAGCTCACGGCCGTCGGCGTGCAAGGCCCGACGGGCGCTGCATACACGGTGTACGAGAAGAACTGGCACTGCAAGGACTGCGGGCAAGAGAACTACGCGCGCCGGCCACGCTGCATGCGCTGCCGGGCGGCCAAGGTCGCTGCGCCGGACGCGCTCGTGTACACAGCGGCGAACCACGAAAACAAGTGGCGCGAGGCGCTGGACCCGTCGACGCAGAAGATCTACTACTACCACATCGAGACGAATGCGACGCAGTGGGAGCGTCCCAAGGAGATGGGGGCGGCGCCGCACTCGACGGGCTGGTTTGGCCGCGGCCAAGCTGGTATTGACAACGCGAGCAAGTACGAAGATCTCAACACGCGCCTTCTTCAGCGGCCCGCGCGCAAGCAGATCGATGCGATGCCGACCAAGAACACGCGCATGGAGGGCGGGAACGAGTACAACATTTGGTACGACAAGTACGTCGGCGAGAACTGGGACCACACCAAGGGCCAGGACCCGGCCGAGCACCGCTGCTGCCTCGAGACGGACGGCGGGTACACAAAGGCTGACAAGATTGGCAAGTCCAACAAGTTTTTCTGCCTCCACTTTGCCCGCGGTGGCTGCGCGCGGGGTACCGAGTGCAACTACTTTCATCGGCTGCCGACGATGGCCGACGAGCTTCGCCTCGGCATGCTCCACGACTGCTTCGGCCGCGAGCGCCATGCGACAGACCGCGACGACATGGCGGGCGCCGGTAACTTCATGCGCAACTCGCGGACCTTGTACGTTGGCGGGCTCAAGCCCAAGAGCATGGTCACGGACATCGTTATGCAAGCGTTTGAAGAGTGGGGTGAGGTCGAGAACGTCAACATTGTGCACCGCCTCACGACAGCGTTCGTCCGGTATCGCCACCGCACGTCGGCCGAGTTTGCAAAGGAAGCGATGAGCAACCAGGCGCTCGAAGACAGCGAAATCCTCCAGATCAAGTGGGCCATGGACGACCCGAACCCAGTCGCCAAGGCTGCGGCCCAGCGAGCGGATGCTGATGCGGTGCATGCGATGCTCAAGTCGCGCAACGTCTCGACGACAGCCGCGCCATTCGACTACCCCGAGACGTACCAGATGCAGGCCAACAAGAAGCAGAAGGCGCTCACGGACGCCAACATGTACCCGGACACGGACACGCAGTTTGCTGCGACGCACCACGCGGCCATCGAGCAGCAGAAGCAGATGAAGCTCCTGAGCTACGCCGACCAGAGCGACGACGAAGGCGAGGATAACGCGTAGAGGCCACCCACGATCCAAGTGCCTCGTAGGTCTCTTGCAGCTACACTGTACGTACTACGTTCCTTGCTTAAGACCTGTATCTATGCAGCGCCAGATCAATTGTGATACTCGAAGAAGGAGATTGGTGCTAGCAGTGAAGAGATGCAGCGTGAGACTTGTGATGTTGGAGGTGACAGCAACGCATTGATAGTCTATGAAACAGTATAAGCTATCCGAGTATAGTGGGCGTCTCTTCGAAGCTCTGTAGTGGTGGGATGCCCTCAACTTGCAGGCGCGGCGGCACTGCCCACTGCAAGGATTCAGCACTAAATATGATAATAAATGGCTATATATTGCATATGTCACATACAACTCATTGTGTTAATTATTCTTGATCTACACCTCGTACGCCGACGTGGAGTAGCATTTCGCGATCTGTATCGTGTTTTTCATCATCATGGCAAGTTTGAGCGATTTTAGAGCTCCAACAGACTCCGACGATGGCGAGCAGCGAGGTGGCGCGAGGTTACCTCGCACAGGATTGGTTTAAAATAATCGATAACTGACCAATGAATGGAATGACGTGACTGACAGTGAGTTATTTTTTTACATCGACATGTTCGTTCGTTGCCGCGTTGGCGCTACTAGTAGCAGTCCATACTTCCTCGCAAACTAACTCATTATTGCTGATACAATTGTACCCAATCGAGTAAACATGTACATTGTACTATTCATCACTATCACACAGCAAGGACGTTAAGCGCTCTTACGCCCGCCACGCGAACGAAGTATACATGCCCTTGTCCACGTTGAAAGCCTCGCCCTTGTCGCCGCCACCAGCACCGGCAATCACGTGCAGCTAGACAAGAAATACACTGTCAGCACCGCTAGATGGAACGAGAATCGAGTACCGGGATCAGGTGCTCTTCGCGTTGGTGGCAGTCGCGCGCGTGCGGGAGAGTCGCCCAGTTGGCTAGCGCCTTGCGACGGTCCTCAACGTCCGCTTCCAACGCCGCCTCGGTCAGCGCCACGTTGAACTTTCGCGCCTTGTTCTCAAGGTCGCTCGTGCCACGGCTCGGGTGAAAGGTCGCACCGGACCCAACGATCGCAATGTTTTCGTCGCGAAGCACGGAGAGCACTTGACCGATCTTGAAGTGATGAATCGGGTCCAAGCCCGCAACGACGCTCACTTGGATGATCGGGATATCTTCGTCCGGGTGAATGAGCTTCATTGGCACAAACGTGCCATGGTCCCAACCGCGCGTCGGGTCGAGGCGCGAAACAATGTTGGCATCCTTGAGAAGCTGGTGGATCTTCTGCGCGATTTCCGGCGACCCTGGTGCCTTATAAGTAAGTGAGTAGGCCTCTTGGGGAAAGCTACGCGTAATAAATAAGCCGTGGGTTTACATCGTAAAGAGGCAGTCTATACCCGTAGTAGTCATAGAGGAGGTCGTGAGACGCGCCAGACGAGATGGCCACGAACGGCTCTTCCCAGTGCGCCGTGACGATGACGATGGCCTTTGGGCGCTTGGTCGGGTCGTGGAGGCTCAAAAGCTCCGGGATCTTGGTCTCGAGGAAGAGACGCGTCGGGCCGTGGTTGGGGTCCGTCGACGGCTTGAGGATCGGGAACGGACCAGCGCCGTGGTTGGCAAAGACGGCGGCAGCACGAACAGCAGCGCACGTAGCCATATCGTTAGTAGTTGGCGCGGCGGAGGAAAAGAAAGAATGAAGGGCGAGAGCCGAGGTCAAGCGGGTTAGGAAAGACGACATCGTGACGTGATGCAAATCCAAAAATGAGTGTGATTGGCCATCCTCGAATTTCGATGAGCCAATGGGGACGCTGCATGGATACGCCGAAATGGAATCATCAACGCGATCGCATCATACCATAGCATACCATAGCACACAATGTTGTCAGATGTGTGGCGCTACCGATGACCTTCGAGGGGCTAGTGTGATGGTGTATACGAGCTTTCGGTGAGCTTCATCATCTTTACTTCGCGTGCTCAAATACCAAGAGTCGCTCGGAAGCTGCTTCCGGGAAGCCGACTGATTCGCTTCATGTCTCACGGAAACAACTTCCGGGGAAATCCCTGCTCCTCGTCGTGCACACAACGTCGAACATTGCAGGTGAATGCAAGAGCAGCAACGCGTTCTGTGGCAGCTCACGAATCACTTAACAGCCATCGCCACGCGCCGCAATCCCTCAAGCATGCGCAGGTGGGACTGAGAAAGGGCCCCACAAAGAAGAGTCGATAAGACGCGAGGCAGTGTACATTTTCAAGGAGGACTTTGTAGCACATCCAAAACAATTGGCTGGGCAATGTTGATGACTTGGCGGGCATTGCGCTCACCTTTAAATCCTACAGGAACTGTTACCAAGCCGCATGGCCCAGATCAGTCACGAGCTCGGTATTGTACATTCGTGACAGGATGTCAAGGATGTCCTTTGCCCGTTGTGTGTACCGCTATATGCAGGTGTCTGGAGCGACACGATCGTCCGGTTTTCATTGGCACAAGGTCGTCGCTAGACTCGCGAGTGCGCGCACTCCAGGTTCCACTCGATGCACGCAGGTTGTAACAGCCGTTCAAAAGCGCACCGATCGGTGTGAGCGGCCGACCAGTCTACAGGTTTTTATCGGCACCTTCTTACCAATTCGGTGTGCTTACGTCGATTTCCGCCCCAATCACCCCAGAATGCGCACCTCCTCCAATCGACCTCGGCCGTTCGTGATTTGCCTGTTCCAAAGGCTTCTCTCATAAAATACTAAAACCGGATTGTGGCATACAAATAACTAGTATACATGGTCAATTATAAACGGCGTGTCCCAGCGATTGCTATGCCAGCGTAAAAATACAGCGGTCGAACGGCCCACACCCACGGCGCCGGGGCAGCCACATCAGAAGACGCCGACCCGAGACGCATGCTTCCTGTCTTGAGCGCCGGCGAGACGATCGGCGTTGTCGTCGCCTCGGTCGCCTTGGTGCTGGTCGTCGCCGCAGCCAAGCTCCGACAGGCGGCGCCCACGCGTCGCAACTCGATCTGGTCCAGCCCCGACGACGAACTCGAAGACGTGCGCCTTCTCCAAGCCGAGCTGCGGAAGGCCAAGGCCGCGAAGCGCGAGCCGTTCTTCTATCCCGTGCTCGAAGAGACCGTCGCCTGGTGGGAAGAGTGGCAACGCAAGACGAAGCAGCACCATGACGCGGTCGCACCGCTCTGCGCGACGGACTACCATTTACACACGACGACGCTTGTGACGGCGTGAGGCGCAAATGGCCGTCTGTAGAGTAGACGTCGTACACGTGGCGTCGAATAACTTATTGCAACACTGCCGTGCATGAACTCTTACGACTCGACCGGAGGAAACGCAACGACGTATTCGACGTTTGGCAGCGCCGGCTCGACGACCTGCTTGGCCGAAATGTGTCCTGGGCGGGCTGCCTTGGCCTTGGGCACAACACGGTTGTGCGAGATCTTCATGCCGGTGCCGTCTTGGACGAGGCGCTCGACGCTGCTGCGAAGGACTTGGAGCCAGCGCAGCTTCTCGGCGAGCGACGGCGCGAAGAAGCGCGTCGCCTCGTCGTTCTGGACGAGCACAAACTCGTCCGGCGACGCGGCGTCGCAAGGAAACTCGACCACGTACGAGAGCTCCGAGAGCACCCAAACACCTTGGGCTAGACGCGGGCGGGCAATGTCGTGTTCATCGATGAAACATCGCAGCACGTCGTCTTCGAAGAGGGCTACGAGCCACGGTGTGTGGCGGCTGAAGCGCAGTTTGCCCCGAACGACTTTGCTCGGCTTGACGCACGACGGATTTCTTGCGCCCGCTTCGAGAGCACGGTCTTCCTTGACGGACTGCGGTATTGTAGGTGACACCATCGTCGGAGGCAATTCGACCTCGACCTCGGGGGACGCGTTCGCGCCACAGCTGGTCACATCTAGCCCTTCTCGCGTCGACGGTGGCGTGCCTGGTTGATACACGAGCGTGTGGAAGCCAGGCCCAATGACCGAGACGGACGCCAACGGGCTCGGTTCGACCTGGTTGCTTCGATCTTGGCGCTCAATCGGAATCGGATCGAGGCGAAAGAGGCGCAGTGGCGCGCCAACGTCGTAACGCTGGGTGGAGAGCGCAGTCGTCAGCAGCGGTTGGATTAGCGGCGGGGACGCAGGTCGGCGCCATCGCGGTGCCGGTGCAACTTGTCGATCGACCTTCGCGTCGTGCAGGGCAGGCGGCGTTGTGACGCGAACGGGCGGTATCACGGGCGTGCCTCGGCCAACGTAAAAGGACCCAAGGGCGTGCGGCTGGCGGTCGTTCGTCAGGTGCAATCCAAGCGACGCATCCACCGTTCGCGTATCCGAGGCACTCGAGCGCTGGTCTTCTCGAAAGAGGCTCTGCAGCTCGACGGGCTGCGCGGCGACCATGTCTGTCATTGTAAGGTTCACACGACGTGAGTCATCTTGCTGGGACAGAGTGTAGCTGTGCGCCTGCAGCTGCGGTACGTAATAGATGCGTTCCTGACGGGGCTGATCCACCGCACTTAGTTTGCAACGCAGGTTGAGGACGCCCAAGGCACGGCGGCGGAGCAGCTACAGTGTAATTGAAACGACGTGAACCTCGTTGCGGGTCAGTACCTGAAGCTGATGACTGTGGTGGCTCGACTGCTGAGCAATGTCACGATTGAGGTCTGAGTGCACCCACTTGGGCACGATGCCCCGCAGCATCTCGTAACCAATGCTCACGACCGCGGTGTCGGCAACAGCAGCAACGAGCCCGTACGGATAGTTGGTATTTATCGCCCAAATCGTGTGGCCTGCACAGCCCTTTTGATGCCAAAGAAGGGTATTGCATCGCTCGCCTACCGGTCGCCACTTGCGCAAGATCGACGTGAATTGTGATGGGTGGTGCATCCTTGGCCGTTATTGTCGCGTGCGATGGTGTAGAGTCAACGTCCACGACAGCTTGGAGGGTGCAAAGGCCTTGCTTTAGGATGAACACGTGGTTCAGTTTGGCGTGTACTGGAAAGATCACTAGGAAGATAACACCTGAAGCAATCAGGCTACGAAGGATAAAACCATACCCGCGCTTTTGGTGTAGACGACCTCGGTCATAGCGTGGTACAAGTGACCAATGCGGTCGAGGTCGAGGCGTGACGCCCAGCCGAGAGTCTGGAAAAAGGACACCTCACGGCGCATCGCCGTCAACGTCGCAGCTTCCCAGAGCTCCGTAAACGTTTGCGCCGTAAACGAGATGAGCTGCGTCGTATCATGTGCCATGGCCGAGAGGTTTCTAATGGACATATTGTCTGCAGTTATGACAACAACGTATCGCGTACCGCGTCATTTGATTGGTCAGTATTTCAAATTCGCCAAATCCATGGCCCGGCCCCGCGCGCTTGAGTGCGACGTGCTCAAGGGACGGAAGCGACGAAAACAAACTCACTTTGCCCGAGACGACGACGTAGTAGCGCTTGGGCGCATCGCCGTGGGCGTAAACTACGTAGAAAACTGAATATGATACGGGACACGAGAGGACGCCACGTACTCCATTGCCCCTTCTCAAACGTGTCGTACTTGGCCGACGCCACGATGTTGGACATGGTTTCGTCCGACATGCTCTGGAAGATGGTCATGTTGGCGAGATGCTTGATGATGAGCTTGATGCGCTGGCTCACAGCTTGCTCGACGAGGTGCCAAAACCGAGGCTTCTTGGCAGTGCCTTGGCCCATGATGCCCTCGGCGACCTTTACGTTGGCGCGCACCCAGTGGGCCTTGGCCATGCTACAAGCCGTACCTCAACCGACGTGTATCGTATCTTGATGCTCTTACATGTACTGAGGCTGCACCACGGACGGTACCGGACGGACTAGCATGGAGCACGCCGCCATATACGCGGCTTTGGTAATGCGCAGCGCTCGAAGCGGTGTCTCGGCCACGACATTGTACAAGCTACGCCACGTCACACATCAGATGAGCGCGAAATGACGCGCGTACCTTGTCGCGGGCGTCGCAAAGACGATCTCGCCGCCATACACGTCGCCCGCCTTGAATGTCCAGCACGTATGCAGTGACGTTGACAAAGACGACGCGCTCACCCGGCGGTTCGGGCCATCCGTCGCGTGCACTTCTTTCTTAGTAAGCGGCACTGATATCACGATTGGCTCTTCGGGCACGATCGCATTCATACGCAGGCGGGGGATGCGCTTCGAGAGCTTCATAATCGTCGGCAGCACCGACTTGGAGCGTTTCTCGTGACGTGGCGCCATGAGCGTCTTGCTTGTCGTTTTGAAGTTGCTCGTAATGTCTCGCATCGGTGCGACAGCACTGACGGCTGTCGTCAACGGCAAGTCCATCGGAGACAAGACGCGCTTCGTGTGCATCTTGGAGGCGGTCGCGATGCCGTCGAGAAAAATGTACATGCTATTGAGACGATCTCCGATGCGGACAATCTTGTCCCCTGGCGCAAAGGCAACAACGTCATGAGCTACCGCCGACGCTGGCGGGAACCACAACGATGCACACAATGACGCAGTGTCAGACACGTCGTCTGCGAGGTTGGCCACCGCCGCACGCAGGTGCCAGCACGTTTTTGTTGGCTCCCCCAGGCGCTGGAGAGTGCTCGTGACGTCTTGCGCTCGCAAGATGAAGAGCGTGCTGGCCGTGTGCGCCAGAATCGTCATGGGGAGGATCCTGTCGCCGTTCTCATCGACCGCGCCGTGCGTCTGCAGGACGTCGCCGCGCCGAAATGTGTGAATGTGCCGCCCGTATGCTGCACCGAGCGGATGATCGCTCTCCGTCGCTGGTGCGGGCTCGAGTTGTGACGACGCTTGACACAACGGGTGCCCCTCGAGCGCGTCCGGACATGCATCGATGTGCTCTCGACTGTACGCGCCGAGCTGGCCTCGCAAGACGATGACAAAAATGGGATCGACGTCCTCTCTGTCTTCGGCGCAGACTACGTCGCCTTCGGCCACGTGTTGCAGCACCAAATACGGCACCAGCTCGAGGCGCAAGTAGAGGGGTACGTGCGTGAGAAGCCCGAGATTGTGCAGCAGCCGCGTCACGTTCTCCACGTCCTCGCGTGCGGCAAATCGACCAAGAGGACACTTTGCCAGAAGCGACGAGGCACAGAGCGGCAGTCCTGGCAAGAGGCCATCAAGCCACAACGTGCAAGCACTGCGTGGGATCTTCAGCAGCACCGAAGGTTCAGTGGTTGAGGCGATGTCCAATCGGCGGTAATGACCTGCTGGTGCGTCGTGCCCAAAGAAGTCACCAGGCAGCACCATTCGCGGCGGCCTTTCTGCGTGGCCGTGCAGCGAGACGGCGCCCGACACGAGAAAGTACGTGGCATCGACGTCGCTTGCTTGGTTGTACACGTGCTTTTGCGCTGGAAACGAGAGGACTGTCATGACTTCAACAAGCCGGTCCACGATCGCATCGGGGAGTTGCTGCAGCCCCGCTTGCCATATGCACCACCGGTGCAACGCAGCCAGATCCAACGGTCTGCGCTCCATCGGTGGAATGGATGCTACTTCGAGCAGCGGTCGGTCACTGCAATCGGTGTGCAAGACGAGGGCAAACTCAGCCCTGTCGATTAGCACGACGTCGGAGGATTCCATGGCTCGCAGCATGGTCACGAAGGGTCGCTGCAGGAGCCAGTGGTGCAACGAATCGTCGACGCGTTTGTTGGTGTCGTTCCAGAGGTGTCGATCGCCGTACACTTCGCCCGACGGAATCGTACCCACGAGGCGGTAGCTGGCTGACGCGCTCACCTTGCGCTGCGTGCCGCTCGTGGTATCGTCTGCAGCAACCACCAGCAATGTTACAACAGGGGAAACTACGGGACGCAAACCAACCTGCCGTGTCGGGCACTTCGATGCAGTAGAGTCCCAGCTGCCCTGATAGCACAACGATGATGTCATGCCAGTCGCCATCGGGCACGACAACTACGACAAGCACGTCATGAGCGCTGCGTCACTCGTAGTCGCTCTGAGTACGTGGCTCGTTGGGTGCAAATGTTTTCAGCTGACAATGGTCAACAAGGCGATCCTATATTGTTTCACGTCCATCAGAGCCACGAGTGAGTTTGGAACCCACTTGGCTCGCAACGCTGAGCTGAGAGAAGAGCGTGTACTGTGTGAGGTACGACCGCAGCTTGGTCCGGCCTGTCGAGTGAATATCCACGAGCGTTGTCTACGAGCTAGCACTCTAGCCGAGCTAAAAGTGGCGAGACAGACACACCGATTTGGCGTACAACATAATCGGCTTGGGGTTCGTATACGCAATGGCGCGCTCGATTGTGTCCTGGGTGCACAAACAGACATTCATGCCTTGTGCAGCAATGCTTGCTGTACCTTGCGCAGTGCAAGCACGAGACAACTTTCTTGGGCGAGCTAGCATTGGATTCCAGCGAGTGCATTCCTCGAGGTATCATCGGTGACAACGTACGAGGCTGTATTTTCGGTGCGTCACGGTCTGCTTGGACGTGATTTCTGTCAAGCCATACTCACCTAAGGATATATCGGGCTCTATACTGTGCCTGGCGAAAACGCTGATTCACCTCCTACGCCAGAAAATGTGTGCTGCTCGATGCAAAGAAGCGTACCAGCATAGTGATTCTCAACGCTGTCGCCAAAGTCCATGGGCTCATGTGACTCGGCGTAGAGTCGAGCGAGCCACGCTGGAAATGTCTCTTGACGGTTCGTGCGCTGGGCAAACTCTGTGTTTTTGTACGCACAAAGCGAACCCTCGAGCTAGAGACACACCATACGTATCGCGTTTGAAGGCGAGCAGCACGCACCACATAGTACAACTGCGATTCAGGCGTGACGAGATCGTCCTAAGGTGTCGTGCTGGCGTCGTGAGGTTGAAAATGAGCGTTGTACTTGGTAGTGAAGGACGTCGCTGTCGTTGAGCTTCTACAACATGCCATCAAGATCCGTTACCACTGTCGCATGTGAAGTACGAGGAGTGTGCACTCGTTGGCGACGTCTATGCTCACATGGAAACCATCATGGAAAACAAGCGGCTTTCAGCCGCGCTACGTACATAGCAGTGCTTGGGACGACAGAACAGCGAGAACATCCTTGAGCAAATGTGCAATCACTCGAACATCGCTGTCAAGACGGTCATGCATGCTATGGATTCGAATTCTGCTGCACGCTCAAATGCTCTTGGGGTGGACGTACGGGACTTGGAGCGCCCACGTGACTGCTTTGCTCTGGAGCTTGTCCATCCGGGACGCATTCGCATGGGGCTTCTCAGGACTCGACGGCAGCTTTGTGCTTCCGGCGTGCAGACGCATCGTCGAACCTCGCTCCAATGCTGGTGCGACCATTCTCGTCGGCGCAATCTCGGCCCGTTTCGCACCGTTTTTGAGATGCGTCTAAAAAGGCGCCACTGAACCGAACATCGAGTGGATATACCGAACATCGAGTGGATATGGGCAATCTTTCATGGTACGGTAGCCATCGTAATAGCATCTCGATCTCGACGTCGCTACCTGGCCAAGCGTACGTGATGAGCTTCGATTCAGTACAGAACAACTACAGTATGCTCATTTCAAAGTCAAACTCGTTCCCGTGAAACCAACGACCCCGCAAGCTACATCAGGGGGTGGTTCAATATTGGACCAGCCAATTACTGCACACTTGCAACCGATATCCGACCTAGAAGCCTGCAGCCTAACATTGTACTAGAAATACGCGACGGGGGAAAACGATGATGGGTACAATGTGAGAGCTGTCGCCTTTGCCATTCATAGTCTGCTGACGAACGGCAAGCGCTCTTCTCTGGATGTCCACCTCCGGCGCCGCACAGGGAGCCCAATCATGGACCATTAGAAGACTACTAGTAATAAACATCAACGCGTGCCCAACGCTACCGTCGGCGTGCAGTGGCCATGATGTGGCCGATCCTCCGCGCGTGCGTGCGTCCACACCGTCTGGCTT